AAAAAAAAAAAAAAACAAGCTTGAACATCCATCACGGATCAACCAAGTCAATATTTGAACATCCATAATGGATCAGCCAAATCAAAACTAGACACTTAACTTCTTCTGGTTGCTGCTGGCCACAGTAACACATTGAATTCTTTTACTCACAGATCTGACTATCACATCCCAAGCGGGATATTAAGCGCGCAACGACCATTAACGGAGCAAGTTCGTTTTACGGAAACCAGCTTGTAAACCGAAAATGCTCGTCATAGCCCAACATACATAACGTTGGTCATAATGAGATTGTTGTCGGAGCGGATATCTTAACCTTTCCGTAGGCCGAGTTCAATCATATGTAAAAAGGAAACCCAACAGACGAAACGTTGGTTGAAAATCAGAACATGTTACTAAGCACAATCGTCTTGCAGGAAACAGGGAAAACATCTTATAACAAAAACAAAAATAACGCCATTAAAGCACAAAGTCTGCATAAATAAAGGCCATATAGGCAACGAAACAAAGAAGAACTAAAACACTGAGAAAACACAGAGGTAGGGAACCACTCAAGGAAGATCGACTAGGATGCAGCGCCTCCATCGCCGCCGTCATCTTACTCCTAATCCTCGACCTCGGTTCCACTTCCGCCAGCATCAGCTCTGGCACTAGCTTCATCAGCGCCGGTTTCAATAGCATCTCCATCGTCGAAGCCATAGCCTTCAGTACCATCGGGTTCGCCTTCAAACCCTGCACCGATATCTCGGGCATCACGCGGATCAAGCAAGCAAACACCAGAAGGATCCCAATTTGACCCAAAGGGGAAGTGAATTCCGATCTCTGCTGCCCGATTCTCGAACGGATTGGCATCAAAAGTGGAAGCATCATCGTAAGAAAAAGGAGAGACAACCAAACCTTGTTGAATCTCGGTAAACAACGCATTGTAGTCCTCGTCCCCGCCAACAAATTCCCCCCTCCACTCGGAAATTTGTGCGGCTTCATCCTCCAAAGATGGAGCATCCTCGCGTTGAAGCTTCCGGATGAGCTCGAGATTTGCATCAACTTGAGCAAGGTCATTCATCTTATTCACCGACTTTCCGAGAGCCCTGAACTTTTTCTTGGTCCTCTCTATCTTCGACTTAAATTTTCTCATCAAAGAACGCACAATCCTCTTCGTGGCCGTTTTAACCTTAGAGTCGACAGAGCTTTTCTCCAGTAAAAGCTGGCCCTTGAGCGACTCGATTTCCGAATCTTTCTGGGCACCCGAGTCACGCAGTTCATCACGAGTTCTTTCCAACAACACCATGTTAGCATCCAACACCCTTCTCTGTGCCACTTCGGCTTCCCATTTGGCTCGAGCCTCTTCGGCCGCCTGTTCGGCCCGTTCAGCCTCCCGCTTAGTGCGACGGTCGTACTTACGCGCTATCTTGGTTACAGAATCAATAAACTGAGGAAATTGACAAGTATATAAGTTAGAAAATCAGAAAAGATATAGGCAAGCTCAGAAGGAGGAAAGGATCACCTTGGTTCCCTCGAGCGATATCCTATCCGAGACCAAAGCTTCCTTTGGAGGGGCGGAATGAGCTTCTTGCTCAGCAATATCGGGCGTCATCAGGCCACCCTGCAAAGCCTTAACCGTGTATTGCATCACTCCTTTTCCCTTCTCTGCAGCAGACAAGGTGCGTTTCCGGGGAACCATGTTTCTCCTTATTACAGGCTCGGTTACTTCGGCAACATTTCCGTCGTCAAAGAGGCTATAGATAAGGAACGACGCCCATGACGATTTCCAGCGGGTGATTCGGAGCGACGTCCGGGACGATTTCCAGCAGAGGATTCGGAGCGACGCCCAGGACAAGGGGCGGCCGCGACATCGACTTCCATGTTCTGGACGCCGCCTTCGGACTCACCGGCCAAACGGCGTGCCTCGGCCTCCTTCCTTTCACGAACTGATGGTCTCTTCTCCATGGTTGCTTGCGACGAAGTGTTTGATGAATCGGAACCGACGAAGTAGCGGGCTCGAGCGTCTTCGATTCGTTGGGGAGAAAAGTCTTCCTGCCAATTGCAACGCTCGGATGCTAGTAACTCTGCTAGTGTGAGAAAATCTGGTGGAACCTTCGGAAATGGATTGATAACTGCGAAAACGACAAAAAGAGATATCGTGTTAGATAAACGCCCAACGGATCAACAAAACAAGGACATGACTCCGGTTCAACTACCCTTTCTTCTCCACTTTCTAACTATCTTATTGATCCACCGGGGACCGACTGATGCTTCAGTTATCGGGACATAGAAGAAATAGTCGATCCAGTAGCTATCTTTACTGGGGAAACCACTGATGATTGAACGGTTCGCTAGCCGAAACTGAATAGATGAGTTTTTCCTTAGGGCGAGACGCGCGGACATCTAACCAGTTCAATAGATGGAAGACATTGACCTCTTCNTCACATTCGATGCTCCTCACGAAAATACCCATCAAGTGACGAAGACCGCGGGGACTTATCTGCGGAGTTACCTTCTAGAGAGAGAGTGGAGAAGTAGAGAGTGAAGGAAGAATGAGGGAGGAGTGGAGTATTTATAGGAGAAGATGAATTTACTATTTCTTGGGAAACGTCCGGTAGCAGCAGAAGCATCAGAAAAACTAGTAACGTTATGTCCAGAAGACACTGAGGTAATTCAACAGACAAAAGCAAAAGGACTATTCGCGGGGCCTAGTCATCATTGGTCAAGAAATTAAGCTAATTGAACAACTTTTATGACTGCTAATCACTTGATTAACACAAACCGCTCCGCCAATATTTCCATAGTACCGAGCTGGGGGGCAAACTGTTGGGGTCGAATCTCTCCCTGGAAACAACAGTCATAAAATGGCTAAGTATGAAAACCGCGTTGCGGAACCGATGTCATGACGTCGCGGTGCCGATGTCACGG